ATAGTCGGCTTTCTGCCTGCCACGCAACTGGCATCAGTGAAGTTGCTGATTGAAGGAGTGAATGAATGGCTCCTCCTACTGCAAACCTTTCTCCCTTAAATCTTCCTGTTTTACTTCTCTACTCTAGAATTTTTCCAGATTTTTTTTTTTTAGTTTAATTTACTCATGGTACAGAGCACATGCACGTGCATGTAAGACAGAGGGAGAGAGGGAGAGACAGAGAGAGAAACACCCTCGACAAGGTCCAGTCGTGCCACAGTTCCCTTCCCTCAGCCCTGCAGCTTGTCAGGATCCTGGGTACATGCACATGCACCCAGCGTGTTTCAGATAGACTGGGCTGGGGGTCTGGGTTGGGACACGGTTTTGAGCTCTGTAGCTTCGGATGCTATCCACCATGCCACAGGGGCCAGGGCATGGGATTTTTCCAACTTCTGACATAGGAAACTGTTAACAGGAGGAAATGAGGAGGAAATGAGTTATCTCTGTAACTAGCACTTGGCATTAGCAGTTACCTAGCAGATAAGAGCATCCTTAAAAAATCGGGTCAGCAGGTGGTGTAGTAGTTAATGTGCTGGATCCCACATGGCCGACCTGGTGGTTCGAGTCCTGGACCCAGTGGCCTGAAAATCACACCAGGCAAGTGTGCATGTGCCCCCAAAGTCCAAAGAGGAGAATGGAAAGGTTGCAGTGGTCATCCCACCTGAGGGTGCTTTATCACCTTCTCTCTTTCAGGAGGTCATGTGCACCTTATAGTAAATTTAAAAAAAAAAAAAAAAGATCCTGGATGGAGAGTCCATTGATAGAACTCTGGTCCCACTCACAACCCTTGCCCACTCAGGGGAAGGTCATTAACCTTCCTGGGTCTCTCTCCCCATCTGTACAAGGGGGATTTGGCCATGTCTTGGGGTGACTGCATCCTTTGGTGCCTGGCCAGGTCAGTCGGTAGCCACTTTCTGAGCATGGCCACAGCCACATGTTGGAGACTGCCCAGTGACATCAAGGCACTGCTAGACTTTGCAGTCCTTGGCTCTGTATCCACCCCAGAGTGCTGGCCACAGCGGCAAGTGGACCATCTGCTCCTGATGAAAGCTGGCAGGGGCAGGGCAGTGGCTGCGTTTTCCAAGGGGCCTGAAGATATTCTAGGGAAGATTTTCCATGAAGATGATCATTAACAGAGAGGAATGTTTGCGATCCAGGAAGCCTTTTTCTTTTTCTTTGTTCTTTACTCTTTTTTTTTTTTCTTAAGAGAGATTTTTGCTATAGCATGTATGCACTTGCCAGAGAGGCAGAGACAGAAAGTGAGAAATCACCTCCCCGCCCCCAGGGAGGATGGCTACACCGTAATCCCTTCTCATTCTCCTCTCAGGATTTTGGGCATGCAGACACTCATGCCAAGCTTGAGTTTCAAGCCTTCTGGTCCAGGACTCGAGCCATGGTCAACCATGTGGGAGTCCAGCAACGTAACTGTTATGCCACCTGCTGGTCCCAAGGAAGCCTTTTTCTGTAACTCTCCATCTCTCCTCTCCCTGTGTACAGAACCAGCTACCGAGGAGGGGCTCCCAGAGTCCTGTAAGTGACAGGTGAGGGAGTGGAAGCCTGGAAGAGCTTGGCAAAGCCAGGTTCCCTTGTATAAGACAAAGGAGTCATAGAAAGTGAGAGGAGAGGGCGGGAATGAGAGAGAAGACGGAGACTGAACTTGATGGCTCCCCAGGGGGAGCTTCAGAGAGGGCATGGGTCTGCAGGCAATTTGGGGGTGAGGGAGCGGCCTCCTGAGTGAGAGGCGGAGAGAGAGTCACTGTAGAGAAGGAGTCGGGAGCTCGCCAGTTTCTGGCTGGCTGGCCTTGGGGAGTCCATGCTTTAGTCCCTTAATCTGAAGTTGGGGACAGTGGCACCTACTTCATAATGGCAAATACTTAGAATTGTGTGTGGCACCTAGTAGGACTCTAGAGGTGTGTGCGGTGACATCCATGCTGTGGTGGTACAGTGTGAAAGGCCTGTGACACCTAGTAGGACTCTAGAGGTGTGTGCGGTGACATCCATGCTGTGGTGGTACAGTGTGAAAGGCCTGGAACTCTTTGGTAGAATTTATATCACTCAGGGTGGATCAAAGAAACTGCTGTCCTGGGACTCGGCTGGGCGCTGAGTCCGGAGTCAGCTCCCAGGCCACAGCTGAGACACCAATAACCAAGACTGCTGGCAACAGGCAGGACCGCCACTAGATCTCCAGTCTGTGACACTGGGGACTTCCCAGAGACTGCCACAGTAGGAGCCAGGGCCTCAGTAGCCTGGCAGTTCAGGGCATCTGCCCGCCACGTGGCCAGACAATCCAAAAATTGCCACAGGCCGAACTTTGTCACCAGCCTGTTTCTCCTATGGAAGACGCATCCCCCAGCCAGAGTCAAGGACTTCCCAGCTGGACGGGCCCCTCTGGCAGACCGTGCTCTGCTCCGGGGATATTTCCAGATTCTGGGTGACATCCCCTTGCACTCTGCCTAAGAGGTCCCAGATGCTCCTGCTCCCTCCTCTAGGGACCTGCATGCAGCCTCTGCCGGCCTGGGCCTTCCTCGCCCAGTCACTGCACCTCCTGGTTGTCTTTCTGTTTTATTTTTAATTGAAGACATTTTGCCATTCTTTACCATGATGGCTGTCAGCGGCCAGCATGAAAGAGTCTTTCCTTCTGGGTGGGACCAGGACAGGGATGTAACAGATGCAGGACCCTGAGGCACGAGGAGGAGAGGAGTAAGGGGGAGAGGGGGAACCTGAGGAGTCTTTGTTGGCCGAGCATGAAAGAAGCAATGGGGCCGGCAAGTGGCGTGGTGGCTGAGGGCGCTGGACTCCCACATGGCCGACCACGGTTCAAGTCTTGGACCTGGTGGCTTGCTTTCTCACTTCCTCTCTCTCTCTCTCTGTCTTTCTCTGATCAAACTGAAAAATAATAATGATATAATAATAAATAAAGTTAAATAAAATAATTCTTAAAAAAAAAAAGTAACTGGAGGGGCAGCTGTATTCATGGGGCCAGGTCACAGGGCAGGCCCAGCTGGGAATCCCTCAGGCCACGGGGTTCAGGTCTTGGGTTCCCTAGAAATACCTCGGTTCGCTCATCTTTTTGCGACAGTGTTCCCTCCCAACCCCTACTCCTTTCCCTCCTTCCTCAAACACTTGAATATTTTTTTCTTGACTGTTTCCAGTAATGCGATAGGGCTGCCCCTGAGGCCTGTGGGAGGTGGGAGAATGCAGACCAGGAGAGGTGGGCGTTGAGAAAGAGGCAGTGGGCAGCAGGGCCGGGGGGCTAGAAACACCTGAGTCACAGCTTTACAGAAACCAGGGCAGGCCTGATAGACATCCATCAGGCGGGGACGAGGGAGAAACCTCACCCTGGCCCTCACGCGCCCTGTGCCGCCTTCCTCTGCTTGTTTCCCACTGCGTGTGTTCATGTGTTCATTCCTCTTGCTGACAACAATCCTGACCCCTTTAGGGTCTCTAATTTTGGTACCCTCTGTCCCTGTTCTGCAAGTTCAAGCAGGTCTGGAAGAGCCCATCTTGCAGGGCGGGCAGCCAAGGCAGGGACATCGTTAGGTCTCCACCAAGACCGAGCCTGGTCCAGACGTCTGATTTTGGATCCAGTAATACAAATGTGGACATGAAATAAAGGGGGTGATTATATGTGGGAAAGTGGGCCAGGAAAATACCAGCTCTAAAGACCAGATGGGACCCCCCCTCCACTGCAGAACTGGGCTCTGCTCCTGAGCTCCAACCCAGACCCCAGGGCTCCAGGCAGCCCCCCACAGCAGTGCCACTGACGGGGACTTTTCTTTCTCTTTCAGGACCACCTGTAAGTACTCGAGCCACAACCAGTCTCGGCATCTGAGAGACCTGTGTCATCGCTGGTAATGGGACCTGGGGCCTGATGGCAGCAGGGCCCTCATGCAGTTTCAGTCCAAGGTCCCTCCAGAACCTTACCAGGGAAGGAGGCCCCATGCTGCTTCCCACCCACCTCCACCCCACCAGGGCAAGACAATGGCTGCCTCCAAGGCAAATGGGCCTGAATTTCCATCTGAAAGGCCAGCCTGGCCCCTCTTAGCCCAGTTCCTTTGTCCCCCAGAGAAACAACTGGAGTCAAAGAGGCAGCAGGTATTAGAAAGAAGGAGATCATCTCTCCTTCCACTCCTTGAAAGGTCTCCTCCCATCTGAAAGCAGGCCAAGAAGTGGCTCCAAGTATGGACGCCCGCCCCAGAGGACAGATGGTCACACCCCTGCGGGACAGCATCGTTCTGACCCAGTCACCTTGGGCAGGTGGTGGTGGTTGGAGCAATGTCAGCCAGCTAGGTGGGAGGACTCACCGAGGGTGGGGCTGGGGGCTGAGCCACTTCCAGAGAACCTGAGAAGAGCCTAAGGAGACTTCTCTGAAGTAATGGATCTCGGGAATAGGAGCACGGGCCTTTCAGATATCCCAACAAAAGACCTGAGGGCGCTGGGGAGCTTCGGAGTGCGGTTGAAAGTGCCGAGGCCGCCACATCAGATCTTTCTCAGGGTTACTGAGACCCTCTCCGCCCCCTCCTCCCAGAAGCCCTTTCCGTAGCCGTTTCCCTCTGGATCTGTACCTGTGAGAGCTGGCTGCCATTGTTAATAGGGGCGTTAATATTCCATCTGTGCCCTGGAATGCCCTCGAACCCATGCAGAGGAGCCTGCTGAGCCCCTGACTGATAGGTCTCTGAGAGAGGGGAAAAGCATGTCATTCCTTGAAAGGAGGAGGGATGATTTATCGTGATGTGTTTGGGATGTCGGGTCTCAATTCCTGTCATCCGTCTTCCAGAACACACTGCCATTAGAAACCCCGACAGACCTCCTGCTGCAAATGGGCTGCTTGCCCCTGTCTTTTTGAGGAAGCCAAAAGAGCTGTCACCTGCCTTGTGTTGGGGCCTCGTCCACACATCCTGTCCCCAAGGCCGGGCTGCTGGGCTCACCCCAAAGGCATCAGCTCTGAGTTCTGACTTGAGGGTCCTTCCTTCAGTAGGAATTTAGCATTCTGGGAGCTCATGCTAGCCCAACCCGGGCTGGTCACAACCAGAGGGGGCCTGGCACTCCTGGGGTCTGTGGTGAAGGAGCAAAGAAGGGAGGATGAGCCCAGACCACCTGGCCACAACTGAGCCGTGGAGTGAATGGGAGGGATGCAGGTGGCTGTCCCCACATTCTGAGACTGAGCCTGACCGTAAGAGGAGCCCTGAACTTGGACCCAGCCCTGGCTGAAAGCACAAGGCTGGAGGAAGAGGTGCTGGGAAAAGGGCCAGGGTGGAAATCACCTCCTCAGCCCTGTTCCTCTTCTTCTTGTAAAAGAAAGCGGGTAGCCAGAGGCGAGGGCTAGCTGTCTCCTCCCCTCTGGGTGGGTCTCAGGGCTGACTCAGTCCTCCAGTTGGAGACCTGGGTCTTTGTGGGCACAAGTTTGGTCAGTGCCTAGAGAACACACCCATAGAGAAGGCAGTGAAGTTGTAGCTGGACCCATCTAAATGGTGAAAAGTGGGTGGTCACTACTGCCCCATCCGTCATGCCCACAGCAGACATCACTAATCAACTAGGAGGCTGTTCACCATAATCCTCTTTACAGTCTCTCAATCCATTGGAATTGGTGTTCAAACTGATGTTGATTAGCCATCCTTGGGTCAGAGTTAAGGGAGAACTTCTTAATTATGGAAACTGTGAGGCTGAAACAGAGGACCAAGAGAACTAGATATGTCACTGTCTCTGGAGCAATTTAAGGATTCTCTGCATTTGGATTATCCAAGGGGTCAGCTGCCAGCTTCTGGAGCTAGACTACGTGCATCCAGATCCTGACACTGCCACTTCTAGCTGTGTGATCATGGGCAAGATGCTCAACCTCTCTGTGCTCATTTCTTCATCTGTGAAATGGAAATAGTTACAGTATTCACCTCATCTGTGTATTATGAAAAAAGTATTATATATATATGTGTGTGTGTGTGTTTGTGTGTGTGTGTATAAAATATTTTTCCAATTCAAATAGAATACAGTAACTCACTCAATCCTAGAAACAGAGGGTTTCCTTAAAGAATCCCTGAAGGTTCTTACAAATCTTTAATCTGAAGGAGGAAATTATTATTCTGTGGGTTTTTATTAATTTACTCAGTATTTTATTTAGGTCTACTTCTCATTCCAAGAAATATTTTGGAGGGACTTACAAACTAGATAAGGAAACTGGGATGCGGGGGGGTGTTAGGAAGAGGAGAGGCAGGAAGACAAAGGGAGTCCGGAACTGATGATACCACAATGTTTCATGACAATGAGCCACAGATTTGGTTTCGCGCTTCCTAGTGGTCACAGCAAAGAGGAAAGCAGAGTTTTTGCAAGAGTCCGGCTGCAGAGAAGGAGGAGCACAGCCAACACATAGGCAAAGCACAGCTTTTCCTGGTAACAGGGCCTGAGATAAGCCCCTATGTGTGTTGTAAGGCTGACACCATGGGGTGAGACAGGTTGGCAGTAGCAAAAGTGGGGGTGGGGGGGACTGTCCCCCTGTACCTGCTCAAGATGGCCTCACCATGAGAAGCTGGAAACTCGTCACTCTGCCCTTTCTGGGGTAGGGAGAGAGGTCGCTGCCCAGGCAGTTTGGAAGGGAGAGGGTGTTGTTTGACTCAAAAGCTTTGGTTTAAGGAGAGCTATGCGGTGCCTGAGTGTCTTCACTGGGGCCCGGGTGTGTATCCTCCCGAGCATGTCCTGGGACTGCCAGGAGTTCAGCATGCTTTAGGGCACTGGGGTATGTGCATGAATGAAACAGCTCCCTGACTCCCCAGCTGGCCTTTCAGTTCTAGAGGGCAAAATCAAGCAGAATGGTATGGATGGGGACGAGGCTTGCCCCCGTGAAGGCCTCCAGTACTAGGGAGAGTCATTGCACCACCACTGCAGGGGCGGCCTCAGGACAAAGGACAGAGGGGACCACTTACTGTTGGTGCACCCTAAATTTGCCTGGGCAGCCCTGCATGGGACGCATTATCTCCCAGGGAACACGCTGAGACCCTCTCCTGGCTCTGCCTTCCGTCTGCAGGAGAGGCACTGCGCCTGGTAGCAGGATCTCTGCAGGGAGCAACCTGGGCCTGCTCTGTGCACTTTCCCACCGGCCTCTTCTCTTACAACCGTAATTGTCATTGCTAACGTTTATTTGCCAGCCTCTGCGCTGAGTGTTTGGCACACATGATCTCACTCAATCCCGAAAGGGAGACCCTGATTGCTCTCCCATTTTCGAGGTGAGAAAACAGGCACAGAGAGAACAAGGGACTTGCTTAGGGTCACCAAGTAGTAAGTGACAGAGCCGAGATTCGCTCCCGGGTGTACTGATCCCACCCGCGCCCTTACCCTGATGGTACCATTTTCCTTAGCAAGTACCCCCTCCCCTCCTGAACCCCGTGCTCTGGCCACTGCCAGGGTTGGGGCCCTCCCCAGGTGTGCCCTTTGCACAGTGCTCCACGGTGCCCCAGGAGGCAGCAATAGGGCCCAGCCACCCTCCTATGTCTGATCAGATCCTTCTGGAAGATAGGTTCCAGGGCTAGCAAGATGTGACTCTCTTGGGATTTGCGAGGCTCCGCAGTTGCCTCCTGTGCCTGTCGCTATGATGATAGCTTTTAGAATGAAAAGGACATTTCATTGAATCTGTTTTTCTTTTCAGTGGGATTTTGGATCCGTTGTATGTAAAGGTTCTGTGCCCAGAACTGAGGTCGGCAGGAATACTAGCGTTACAAATGAAGAGTGAGAAAGAAACAGCTGTGGTCAGTGAAAACAGGCTCCTTGAGCCACAGAGGTCTCCGTCCAGGACAGGATCCAGCCTCCTACCTCCCACCTCCCATCCGGCTCTGACGCTGGGGAGAACTGGCCTGGGACTGGCTGCAGGCATCTAGGAAGCCCCTCTGCCTCCCTCGTGATTAACAGGGAGAGAGAGATCCCCTGGGAGAGTCCTCCGGGGATGCCACCAGTCCCCAGTCCATGGTCATGTGTCATCAGCTCAGTTGTGGTAGTAGAAACACCCCAGTGGGGACAGGGTCTGCCCTGTGTCTGGTTTCTCCTACAGGAAATAAAAGCCCAGCCCCTCCCAGCCCTTTTCCAGCCAGGGCCAGCATGTGTGAGCAAGGTGGACAGGCTCAGGGAGAGGCACATGCCTTTGAGACCCACACTCCTAATGATCCTGGACTCATGAGAAGGACATTCTCTTTCCTGTTCCCTGTACCTAGTCCTGGGCCTGGCATGGAAGAAACTGCCCTCTATTCAACTGACTCTCTGAATGAGTAAATGAATGAATGAGTGAATGAATGAACACATGAATGAATACTACAACTGCAGTGGAGCTTCGTGATCAAAGCCCTCCCTTGCTGTTATTCATAAAGTAACAGTGGCTCCCAGAGCACAGTGACTTACCAATTGCCACAGCTGGTCCGAGCTGTGTTGAATAGTTAGTGTTACAGAAACCTGACCTACATAAACTTTGTTCTTTTCACCCTTTTGTTTTAGGGTCCTACTGGAAGGCCCGGACTCCCGGTGAGTAATTTACATTTCTTCTTCCTTTTGCATCTCTGTCATGTGCTCTTTCTCAGCACAAGAACCAACTACATTGGGTGGCTGGTTTTCCTCCAGGTGTCCCTGACACCTCTGGTGAGAGCTTCTCCACAGTCTATTCTGTAGCTTAGGACCCCACTCAGGGCAGAGCACGTCTGCTGGTGCATCTGCAGCCTGCAGTGGCAGCTCCAGCCCCAAGCAGGTGACTCACAGCCTGCAGACCCCCTCTACTGAAACTGACTTCCAGACAGATGGCTCTGTAATGGGGGCTACAGGGACCAGCAAACCACCAGCTCCCCAAATGTCCTCCTGCACACTAGCCCACATTCACACCACTGTGCCCCCTTCTTGTGCCCTCGGGTAAAAGCGTGGACTCCAAAACTTTGTTTCCCCCCCAGTTACCATTGCAGAATTCTAGAGAGGCCATGCCAAGTAACCCTGGGGGCTTTGAGACAAAAGTAGAAATAATACTAGTGGCCATCTCTTATTAACAGACACTGTGCTCATCATTCTTCATGCATTTGATTTGGTCGATGATGCAGTGAATTGGGTATTATTACACCATTTTATCGGTGAGGGAACTGAGACTCAAATCGGTAAAATACGTGTCTACCTGTCTAAGCCTCAGGTATAGACCTGGTGGAGGCCCACGTTCCCACACCCCATTCCACATTGCTGTTTCCTGTGGTCATGTGCCTCATTTGAGAATCATCTTTAAAGGCTTCTCAGACATTGACCTGTGTGGTCTAGCCTGTAGCCCAGAGGACTTGAGTCGGTATATGGATACTGTATGGATGAGGAGTGACTTAGACAACGTGGTGTAGATGGTCAGAGGGTCAGTGTGGTGTGAAGGGTCAGCTTGGGCTGGCACCAGTCCTGCCTGCTCCCCCTGCACTGAAGGCCACATCCATGGGCTTCTATGCATCCCTGTTGCCCAAGGACGTACCCCCACTTCAGCATGCATTCTACTGTAATCCTTGGACTAATCTAACGGCTTCTAGAATTCGTGCTCAGCAGTGACTTTCTTAATGAAATACATGTGGGAGAATGTTCAGCCTTGAAAATGGAAATGCTCCCAGTAAGAGCAAACCCCAGAGCAGAGGAGAATGGGTGAGTCGGTCCCATGAAATCCAAGGAGGAGGAAATCAGATGACAGAGGGGAACGTGGGCAGGCTTGGTTTTTCTTACAATATCCACCTTTAAAAAGCATTTGGGGGCAAGTCGCAGAGCAGGGGCTGCTGCTCATACTTCCCAGTATTTGGCCACTCCACGCCTGTCCCTAACCCGAGCATTTTATAGGCAGGGCTGCAAAGAACATTAATTTTAAAAAAAGAAATGAAAAAGAAACTAAAACGCACATCCTGAAATATCATTCAAAAGCCCAGGAGTGAGTAGACCGTGGAGATGTCACAGCCAGCCACCAGCACCGGCCTGCGTGCTGAGCAGAAAGGTCAGATCTCAGATTCACGGGTCAGGGTCCCCTGGTTTTGCATGAAGGAAGCTGGGAGTGACCCACAGAAGGATTTGCTGATGCCAGCCCTTTGCTATGATATGCCAAAGCTGAGCTCAGGGAGGCTGACGACACAGTCGATGCTTACAACCCACGCCACCACCCTGCCCCTCCAGCACCCGCAGAATGTCTTATTCAGAGGTGCCATTGGTCTTGACAATGTGTGTGACAGGAGTGAATTTCAGAGCCAATTTTTCTGGTCTTAACGCATCCCACTTACATCTTGGAGATGCTCTCAAAGCATTTTGCTTTGGTGGGGTCAGCAGATGAGAGTCACCCCAAAAAGGCCCACACATTTCAGGGAGCGCAAGAACCCAGTTCTTTCCTGTCCGGCAGGCTGACAGGCACCACCTTTTTTCCTGCACCTCATTGCTTCCCATCCTTCCAGCGCCTTGCAAACCCCGGGCCCCACCCCAGATTTTATGATGTCTGCATGCATATGATGGCAAAAAAATATTTTCTAGTAAAAGGGAGGAGGGACAAAATGTAGTAAGCAGATTTCCAGAGTGAGAAGATGTAACCCCTGGCTACAAAACAAAGCAGTTCCCTGTGAGCATCTGAAACTCGTGATGTGCCTGAATCCACATGGCCCACGGCCCTTCCTGTCAGTGCCGGAGGTGGCTGTGAGGAGGGAGGAGCGGAGAAGGACCCCGTCTACAGCCTTCTCAGAGGGGCTGGAAGAGCAGCAGCGGAGCATGGGCACCACTGCCCCGCCCTGGCAGACACAGACCTAGGGAAGTGACTCACCCATTTGTCGCAGGAGAGCTGCCAGTCACCCTGCTCTCTGCCTTGAAGTTGAGCATCAGGAAGATGAGGCATGTCCTGGCTCCGGCTGGAACAGATGAAACAGCAGAGCTTAAGGGGCGAAGGGCCTTGGAAACACACGGGGAAACTGAAGCCCGGGATAGGGAGCAGACTACTCCTTAGTACCCTTCCCACAGCACCGCGCCTGAGTGCAGAGAGCCGAGGCGGTGGCCCCTTGCCTGGTCCACAGGGGCCACCATGTGAGATGCCATCCCAGCTGCCCACACTCCCCAGGCCAGCTGTGCTCCAAGCCAGGTGCACGGCTGGCCTAGGGACACACTGCCCACTTCCAGCCACATCTGAATGTCTCTGCCTCCTTCATCAGGGGAACAAAGGTGCCATTGGGATGCCCGGACGCGTGGTGAGTTGTGCATTTGTACCTGCTCGGGTGGCCACTGCTTGCTTCTCGACCCTGACCTGTCCTCAGACCTCAGCAAGGTGCTGCCCAGCCCAGCCCAAGGAAGGTTGGCACTCTCCCTTCCCTGGCCCACGTCTGCTTCAGAGAGGGCCAGGGAAGGAGAAAGGAAGAGGTTTGATTTCAGCTCTTCAGGCCTCACAATATGGCTTGAGAGGGAAAACGCAGGAACGTTGCAAGAGCAAAGCTCTTTGCCAGTCACAGGCTGGGCCTGAGCCTGGACTTGGGGAGGACTTCCGCCCACCCCCTACCAAGGCTGCAGCTCCCCCTCACATGTATAGCTGCTCCTGCTTCCACCCCTAGTGGAGCCAGCCTCCAGAGGTGCTTTCTGTAGAGAGACGCACTAAAAGATGGTGAGAACAAAGCTTGGTCCAGACTGTGCCACCACGTCTTCACGAGGAGGCTGAGCGTTAAACAGTTCATATTTCATTTAAAAAATGAAGATGAGAAAAGGGAGGTGAAATGTTTGCTAGGAAGAGAGTTTCCCAGAAACTGACACCCAGCCCCCAGGTCTCAGCACCAGTTTTTCTTGGTGGCTTTGGAATATGGCTTCCTGGTGGCTGCGGGCTGAGAAGGTAGCAGCCTAAGGCACAGCTGGCCACGCGCAGGCCCCACCACTTCGCGACCTGGCATAGGACATGGCCAGGGCTGTCCTCCCCAGATTCCTCACTTGCCATCACTGTCAACCTCAACCTTGACCCCGGGTGCTCCGGCCCTCTGGCCACCCCTGTCATTCCCAGCCGTGTCTTGGAATCTCACCTTCTCAGCTGAAATCGACCTTAGGCACAAGTGTGGCATCCTTGTGTGAATCCGCATGCCTGGTGTGAGCGTGGAAGTGCTCAGAAGTGGAGAAAAGGCACGCACAGCATGGCTAACCCCTGCGAGTGCTGGCCGCACGTGGGCACATGCTAGGAGCCTGACCCACGAGCTCGCTCGGTCCTGACAAGAACCGCACAAGGGAGGCACGGTCTTCACTCCCCGCTTTCACATGAGAAAACTAAGGCTAGAATTTCGATGTCATGCCCAGGTTCACAGGGCCAGGAAGTTGCTGAGCAGGGACTTTAACTCAGACAGCCATCTGGACTTTGGCAAAGCAACTCTCTACCCAATTCCAACCCCAATGGCACCACGGCTCTAAGGAGGGTTCGATCTTGAGGATGAAGCTTTAGTGACCTGGGGCATATCAGGGTTCAGGACAAGTGTTTCAAGTCCTGAACTTTGAGCTCCCCAGGGCCCACCCAGGCCGGAGGCCTGTCTGTCAAGGTCTGGGGGTCCAGAGCCCTAGGCTACCCCAAGGGAAGTTCTCTTACCACTTCCCAGACCAGATCACCTGTCTCTAGCTTCATTTCTCCAACGCAAAATCCTGATTCCACCCAAGCGGTCCTTCCCCAGGTCCTGTGGAGGGCAGGAAGCATTTAGCCAGCCTCTCTCAAGGGTTTACCGTGTGTGGGCCTGAGCCAGGCACCTTCTCCACCATCGCCCTCTGAGTTCCCGTTTTATGGGTAAGGATTTGAGACTCAGTTTACCCAAGATGGGGAGTAGGTTTCTGTTTGTGCCCAAGCTGACTATGGGGAACCTCTACTCAGAGTGCAGCTGCCGGCCTACAAATGCAATGTGAAGCCGCCAGGCCTCATCCACCCTGCCCTCCTCCCAGGCCCTGTGGATGTCTTCCCCAGGAAGTGTCCTTCCGAGTTTAGCTGGGGCTTCAGAAGTAGGGGAGGAGGAGGGGGAGCCGGAGGAGGGGGAGCCGCAGGAGGGAGGTTTCTCACCTCTAGGCAAGGCTATTTTCAAGCCATTTTGAGGCTTTCCTGCTGCTGGTGCTATTTTAAATGTGACAATGGGCCCATTTGGCTGCAGGGTAGGGGGCCTGGCATGTGCCACCTGATAAGGCTGAGGGTGCAGTGGCTATGAAGTGCCTGGATCCTTGTGGTGCCCCAGAGGTAGCCACTGGTCTGTCTGGAGCAGGGTGGGCTGGGGCTGTCCAGCCACTGGTTGCTATGGCTACGAGGAACCCTTGGCCAGCTACCTGGTTCCTCTGCTTTGCTGACCCTTCCTCCATCCTTCCAGATGAATGTGTCCTGCCTTCAGTCCACCCACACCCCTCCCTCTACCTTGCCTGGCCAGCTTAACGACTCCGACTCGGCTTGCTAGCTTGGCAAAGATTTGTACTTGGAGCTGAGGGTGGGGCTGGGAGTAGAGAGAACCTTCTACACGCCTAGGGTCCACTATCACCACGCTGTGCTTGGGAATCTCCATCTCACCCCCACCTCAGATCCACCTGGGCACCTGGGGCCATGGCTTCTCAAGTTTTCTGGCCGAAGTGGTGTCTTCTCTGTCTCTCTCTCTGTCTCTCTCTCTCTCACACACACACACACACAGGCACACGTTCAGGAGGGCCTCTAGCGGCCCCAGCCACTGTTTGTCTCGCAGTTATCTGGAACAGCTGCTGGGGCCACTGCGGGGGAGCGGCTCCAGTCCTCTGCACGCTGTGCTTGTTGGATGGGGACCTGTCGTGTGTCAGCATCTGTGTTTTGCTTTGTTTCTCATTTCACGGTGATTTCTTTTGTTTGGCCGTCATGCCATTAACATGGATTCTTGTGTGCGGCCTCTCATCTTTCTCTTTTCTCTCCCTCCCTCTCTCTCCCCTGCACTCTATGTTGCCTGTGGCCGCCCAGGGAGTAAAGGGCCAACCTGGGGAGAAGGTGAGTTCACACTTTCCCTTCCGCCCTCCCCCCAGCCTCCTCTTCCTCTGGTGGATGGACTACTAGCACTCTCGGAGACCCCCACCCCAGCCCTCCCCGC